AAATCTTTAAAAAAAAAAAAAAAGTGTGAACGATGGCCCTGAATCCTTCGGCTTTCACCACCTTTTATAAAGCCTTTAGGGTGTGTGCATGGGGGCAACGGAGGTTGGTGTTAAGCCAAATTTTTCATCTGGGAAGGGGAGATCTAGGGGACAGGAGGGAAGCCTAAACTAGACAAGCAAATACTTGCCCCACCGCAGCCCCTGCCTTCCCGGAGCCCCGCCTCTCCCTGCACCCCATTCCTGCCTCTCATCTGCTGACCCCCATTTCTGCTTGCTCCCAACTCTGCTCAGCAACGTCACACCTGCTGGACCGGCTCCCCGCGGCTCCTCGGCCCTGCCCTGCAGCGGGAGGGACCCGCCGTCCGCCCGCCGCCCGCCGCCCGCCGCCCTCCGCCGGCCAACTCGGAAAGGGGCAGGGTCTACAGGCGGTTGGCGTGGCTCCTCGAACAAACCCCACCCACACCTGCCCCGCGGGGCGGAGCCTCACTCAGCTTGGCGAATTCTCCCAAGTTGCTGCCACCTGGCCCACGGGGGCCCCGCGAGTCGCTGCACACCAGAGCCCAGGCTGTAAGGTTCTACCAGGACCTACGTTAAAGTCCTTCTTGGGGTTGGGAGCAATCCATTAAAATACAGCTCCAGCAACCCCCAAATCCAGGGATTTTTGTCCTGTCCTGGAAGGTTGTATATAAAGTTACATCTCAAGGTGTGGGGTGTGGAAGAGGCAATGACTTGCTCAAGGACACCCAGCAAGTCACTGGCAGAGCTGGGACTGGAACCCAGTGTCCTGATTCCCTTTGTGGGGGGGGGGTCCCCCAGGCTGGGCTTAGGGAGACCCACCCAGAGTGGATCTGGACACTTTTCCGGCTCAGTGACTGAGGAAACAGAATGTGTTCAAGCTGGACTGGCAGGTGAAGTCTTTCTCCCCACAACATTTTATTTTGAAAAATTTCAAACATACAGAAACGGTGAAAAAAGGGTTCAGTGAACACCCATATACCCATGACCTAGATTCTACAATTAACATTTTGTTGTATTTGCTTTGTCACATTTCTATCTATCCCTCTACCATCTGCCAGTCTGAAATGGCTTCTAAATTAAAGACCAACCCCCCACAGAAGTCTTCAGCCTCACATACATCAGGCACTTGGTCATCCTGGATGCCCCAGCTGGCCTTTTTGGTCTTCTTCCTTGTCTCTGGACCATGTGGCCAGGGGACCTGGGCCAAGGTATCTGGGCAAACGCCATGGCTGTTCCAGGCTGTTCCAGGCTGCTCCAAGCCTCAGCCTGCAGTTGACCTTACAAGAGGTGTCCCATGCAGCAGTCAACTGCCTTCTGTACACACTCTCATGGGACCTCTTCTAGATGTTCGAGGAGGCCAGAGCTGCCACCCCTCGGCAAGGTAGAGACCTGTCCTGGCTGTGCTGGGGGCACAGCCACCGAAGAGAGAACCACCACCGGGGCAGCCTGCTTCTGGGCTCTGGGCGTTCACCCAGCCCGTCTTTACCGGGAAAACATCAAGGTCATGGAATGCCAGCCCACCTGGCCCAGCTCTGGAGGAAGAACCCAGGAGAGAGGAAAGACAGCCCCCACCGGCCCCACCACCTCTGCTTTTGGACTGATGTCCCAGAAGGTCACATCACTCGGCCTCCTCCTCAGGCAAGTGCTGGTGGCCGTCACCCCATCTCCACTCCAGGCTTCCCCACCGCTCACCTGGGCCATAGCAATGGTACTCCCCTGCCTCTTGCTCTTTCCTGCGGCTTCTCGTTCTTTCCCTTGTGCACTAACTGCAGGCACAGATCGGGCCAGCCCTGTGCCCGGGGCCCTGTTGGCCAGTCTCAGACCTCGCCTCTCCCCCGACAGCCCCCCAATACCAGTGCTCCCTCCTGCATCCACGCTTTTCCTACTCGCCCCAATTTTTCCACCTGGCAAATCCTCTTCCCCTCTTCACTCCTTGGGGCACCTCTTGCTTGAAAGCAGAATCTCCAGTGCGAGCTCGGGTCGTTGGCTGAACTCGTCCCCACACCCCAGGGGCGCCGGGCAAACCTCCAGGGAGTATGGCTTTGTCGGCGCTGTGTTGTCCGGGGGTCTGTTTCCCAGCTGCGCAGAGAAGGGAGCACCACGCCCAGCGGATCGGTCCACAGGAAGTTTCAAGGAAAGAGCCGTGCATCTGCCCACACATACAGGAGGCATTCAGAAGCCGGGAGGGCTGGAAGTGCCCGGTGCTGGGGGCAGAAGCCATGAGGGAGGGGGGCCTGGAGCCACAGAGCGACGTGGGCCGCACTGGGTCAGAGCAGAATCGCGGCCGAAGGCTCAGAACACGACTCCACCTCCCCACCGGGTTCTCCTTGTTTGCTTCAGAGGATCTAAAGACAAGGCCAAGCCTCAGCGAGTAACCGGGGGACCTTGGACACTCACTTAATCCTGCTGGTGAGGACCTCAGTTCCCTCCGAGGTAGAATGGGGCTGGAAACGCCTGTCTTGGAGGACCCGGGTTCAGCGAGATGAAGGATGGTGCTTTGTAAGCCCTCCAGGCTGATGCGGGTAGAACAGGTAGTAACTGCACAGTGTCACTGATTTTCCCTTGCCGGCCACTGCTCAGAACCCCTCCGGCAGCCGAGCATCGGCCGGCATCCACTCTGGAGCTCACAAAGCACCTCCATCCGCCTTCTCGCGGGAGCCCCGCATCTGCGCCTCTGCGGGGGAGCTGGAAGGATGACTATTGTCAGTTCACAGGCCCCAGGAGGACAGGGACTGCTCAAGGTCATGTGGCAATTGGAGGATGAGCCCCAACCCCCAACCCCCCCCACCCCCCCTGCATCCTGTCTTTTCTTACTGCCCCAGAAATCCGGGCTTTGGTCGCTCCCCCATCCTCCATGCTGTTTTGAGGTCTCCAGCCAGGGGGCCAGGGGTCAGAGCTGAGGGGCAGCTGAGCTGGGCCTGGCACCGACGCAGAAACTCTCTCCAACCCCCCCCTCGGGGTTCAGATGTCACACACACACTTGGGAGCTGCCCTGTCCCCCGGGCAACAGTCAACACAGGCAGAAGCTCAAAACACAGCTAGGCTCAAGTGCTCTCCCCAGCCCGCATCAGCCACTCTGAGCTTGGGGTCTAGAGGGCCAGTGAGGGGGACCCCTGCTCAGGCTTTCCTGGAGTTAGGAGTGGAGGGGGTCCCAGGAGAGGTCCGAGCTCAGACAGGAGCCTCTCTCTCTCTCTCCGTCTCTCTCAATTTCTCTATTTCTCTGTCTCTCTGCCACACACACACACACACACACACACACACACATGGGGATCCACCCCACCCCTGGGTTCCGGAGAAGCACATCAGCTGGGTACCAGCTGCCCTCAACCAGGCTGTCAGCCTTAGACTCCTCCACGGCCCGGGCTGGCCCTGTGGTGGGCAGGGGTCTCGCCGGCAATCGCCAAACCCCCCAGGCCCCAGAAGCAGAGCACTTGGCCCTGGGAACTAATGGTGTGCAGCAGGACCAGCTGTGGAGGGAGCTCTTGGAGGCCGAGAGGAGGGGCCAACAGCGCTGGTGAGTGCCCTGCCTGAGCCCCAGCTAATTCAGGGTCTAGGAAGGTTCTGGAAGCAGAGAGACCCATGAGAAGGAGTAAGCCAGGCAAATGGTGTTGATGGAAAAGTGCTCTGGGCCAGACCGGAACCTAGAGGGTGGGAGGGAGAGGTGGGCAGGGGCCAGGTGACCCCCCTCCTTCACTCTGGGGTCCCATCTGCCTTTGGAATAATCTCTCCAGCTGGAGCTCCTGGGATAGCGCTGTGGGCTGGCCAGGAAGTCATGACAGCATTGGGGGTTTGGGACGCCCTGGCCCTCTGACCCAGGAGAGAGACATCCCTTCATGCATTCATTCAATCCAGACATTCCTAGGAGAGCCGCCCCGTCAGGCTGTAATGAGGGACAAGACAGCCCTAAACCCGGCTCCTTGGAGCCTCCATTCTCAGGACAGGGCAGCCAAAAAGCAAGCAGAGAGACGAAGTACAGTGTGATGAGTGTCAGGGAGTGAGGGGAGGGTGGGCGCCTTCTTTTTACAGAGGCCTCTCCGAGGAGGCGGAGCCCTGAAATCTGAGAAGGGGCCAAGAAGAGTTTGGTGTATTTCAAAACAAAACAAAACAAAACAAAACAAAACAAAACAAAGACTGTCTGTGGCCGAGGCCGTCAGTGAGGGGACGGGAGCCTCAAGATAAGCAGTAGGAGGAACGTCTCATATACTGTAAAAGATCATATTTTTAAATGTAATGAGACACCATCAAGGGTTTTAAGGAAGAGCATGATGTGATCTAGCCAAAGATCTGGGAAAAATTCAAGGAATGTTTTTATGGTAGAATTCCAACAATTGTTGATGGATTGGAGTGAGAATGTGTGTGGGGTGTGGGGTGTGGGTGCGGTGTTGGTGTAGAGAGTGGGGCTGTGGGGGTGTGTGCATGTGTGCTGGGTGTGGGTTATGAGTAGGGTGCGTGCAGTGGGCGGTGTATACGTGGGGTGTACGTGGGGTGCATGGGGGGACGTTCACGAGGACAGGGCTCTCTGGTGCGGGGTGATCTGCGCAGGAGGACCCGGGAGCTGAGCGGATGTGGGCGCGGGGAGGAGGTGTCAGGGGGCCGGACCTCCAGCCTGGATCGTTAGTGGGATGATCCAGGGGTTCATCCCTGGGTGAACTGCGGCTCCGGGGTGAAGATGCGAGAGCTGGTGGGGTGTTCAAGGCCGGACACATCCGGGTGGCCGCCCAGGAGGCCGCGGAGTGGCAGGAATCAGGAGCTGGACACTGGCCCCACAGGGATGAAAAGCAGAGAGGCGGCCAGGCGTGGAGGGGAGAGCGGACGTGACCGCTGAGGGACAGGGCGTTTCTCCTGGGGGTGACAAAAAGAGCGGTGATGGTGCAGGGCTCTGAATATACTGGAAACCACTGGACCAGACCCTCTGCAAGGGTGAACTTTATGACACGTGGATCTGCTCACGAGCGAGGAAGAACCCACGCTCCCCGGGAAGGGCTCCCCGAGAGCAGGTGGCAGCACACAGCCAGCAACAGTCACCGGACGGCAAGTAGCCAGGAGACCGAGAGAAGCTGCCAGAGAAGAAAGGGGTCCCAGACCCCAAGACGAAGAGTTTAGGGAAATCCAGAGCCGCGCTCCCCACAGAAATACAGTATGAGCCACATCTGAAATCTTCCATATTCTAGAAGCAGCCTTAAAATATATGTATATAACGGGAAACTAGTGAAATCCATTTTAATGGTGTATCTTATCCAAAATATTATCTTTGGGGCATGTAGTCAATATTTTTAAAAGTATTGAGATAATTTGACATTCTTCTTTGTACCAAGTCTTTGAAATCAGGTCTTACGGCGCCTGAGATGTGCTCCGTAAACCCCTCTCCTGAGGTTTTTCTGGATAGAGAAACTGAGGGCCCAAGAACACAGTGACCTCGTTCAGGGCCACAGAGCCCGCAAAGCAGGCAGCAAGCAGAGCGAGGACAGGGACCAGGTGTTCCCACCTCATACCTCGCTGGCTCTCGCTAAGTCTTAGTGTGGCTCTGAGGTCAAGGTCCCTGCCTTCTGTCAATTCAAAACCAAAGCTATTGAAACATGGCTCCCACATGACAGAAGAGGGGGTGAGGGTGGGTGGGAGGGTCAGGACACTTGGGGAGGATGGGAGGAGATGAACGGGCCGGGGGGGACGCGAGGGTCAACTGCAGAGGGGAAGCAGATGAGGGAACAGGGCCCCAGGAAGGGTCAGGTGGGGAGGTTCCCAACGTCTCAGGAGGGTAGGCTAAAGACAGAGAGCTCCGCTCAAAGTCTGAGCACGGAACAATAAGGCAACTTGCAAAAGAACCAAAAACAACCTCTAGAAAAAAAAATCTGTAACGTTGAAATACAAAACACAACTGAAGTGCGCATTCATAAACTCAGATTCATCACAATTACTCGGAAAGACAAGGAGGGGGAACACATGGAAGAAGAATTAGAACCCCAGAGAACAGAGCAAGAAGATCCAACATACCTATCAACAGAGCTCCCCAAGGGGAGGCGGGGAGAGATGAAATTTTGGAGGGGGAAAGTGCTCGAGAATTTTCTAGAACCGAAGAAATGCACGCATGCACCGACTCTGGAGGATGTGCTCCACAACAGGAGAGTACACAAGAAAGGAAGGCCCGGGACCCCGAAAGAGGGGACCCCCGAGGGGAGGTCAGGACGGCAGGAGCAGGTCCTGGGCAGCAACCCTCGTGGGAGCAGGGCGACCCCGTCTCCCAGACAGTGGCCTCTAGAGAACAAATGTGAATGAGCCGGTGGATTACCTGTTGCATTTGACTGTGTGGAAGATCACACAGGGAGGGCTTTACAATTTTGTTGGAGAGTTTGGAATCAGTGATCTGTCCACAGAAAGCTAAGAAAACCAGGGGGATTATAAACCCTAGAAAAAAATTCCAAGTTGTCCAAGGAAGGGAAGGGGATCCCATGATCCTAGATAGTTGCTCAGTGAACAGTATTTACAGAATCCTAAAGATATAAACAATACATATCAGTTCAGCCCAAATCCATAATACAATAATTTTGGAAGAAATGAGGAAAGGGAAAAGGGGCAAGAAAGCTAACTCATAATCTCCCATAATAGAAAGTCCACAGATATGTTTAGTTTCAAAAACCCAAGAAATGGCAACCTGGATTTATCATTCCATGATGGGCCCAAAGAAACAGCAAAAGGGCTGGAAACGTGACCAGACGCTGTAGGGTTCGGGGGCTATGAGGATTGGGGCAGAGAAGCCTGTTTTTATTTTAAGTCTCACAGAATTGTTCAACTTCTTAAAAACAGAATAAAATAAGAGTTAAATTAGCAGCACAGGTAAAATGCCCTTCTCGTTGTCACTGTCCCGGTCTCCTGCCCTGTCCCCACTGTCCTCTGCTGTGCACACTGAGAGGCTACAAAAAAAAGTGAGGTTTTTCTTCACAAAACACTTGAGGGCTCCCACGTGGCTCTGAAAATGCAGACGCACACAGTGGGCTCGCAGCTCTGCGTTCCCCATCACAGGCCACCTCCTCTGGTACCACACATCCCACTCCGGGAAATGTCACTAATCCTTGAGATATTTGCTCGGTGTGGAGGCCACACTATAAATACTTGGTTGGTTTGGGGTGTTTGTTTCACTGGATGACTTTAGTTCCCCTGTGACGTCATAAATGCGTCGGCGACATTGACTCGTTCACCTGACACAGTGAAAGCCATTTGTTAAAAAATGTCATGGGATGATATGTCACTGCCCACGTGTTTTCCTTTTCAGGGCTCAGCACTGGAGTTTCCTGAAAGACTATGACCCCCTGGTAAGGCCAACGACGTTCCTGACATGCACACTTGCACTGGGCATGTGTGCTCATTCATCTAACGTTTATGGAGGACCTACTGGGTGCTGGATGCTGGAATGGACAGAGACAAAAAAATATATACTGTCTTGTGTCAAGAAACTCAGGGTCTGGGGGAAAAAAAAATGCTCAGAGCATTTAGATATTAGTTCTCCCCAATGTTTCTAGATTTTATTAAGATGAACCAACTGGAAATGATAGGTGTCTGCTTCTGGTAATGTTTTCCCCCGTATGAGGATGTCAGCCATGTGTCCTGAGTGATGTGTGTGGGGGGGTGCCCCATGTGGAGATGAGCTTGGGGGAACATACGTTGGAAACGAATTCCCTGCTTCTAATATCACCACCTCCAATCCGACTCCACATTGCTACCAGGACAACTTTCCTAAACCACAAAACTGACCATATCTCTCCCCTGCTTAAAATCCTTCAATACACCTGCACTTTTCAGGGTGGCTCACAACGCTTCCCATGATCTAAGCTTGCCTGCCTCCCCACGCTGACCTACATGCTTTTTTAGCCACACCTTCGAGCATGCTCTCCCCCTGCCTGAAATGCCCTCCCCACCTTGTCAGTCTGGTGGACTCTTATTCATCACTCAAGTGCGTCCTTCTAGAAATCTCTCCTTCCTGAGCAGGCTCGGTCAGATCCCTCTGTTCTTTACTCGCCAGCATATCCAACCGACTCCTTTGATATAGCCTGTCATGTTCCAGTGATCCATTTCAGCAGGCTGTGGGCTCCCTAAGAGAAAGGACAAAACCAGCTTCACCGCTGTACCCCACTCACCAGCCGTGCCCTACCCCCCAGCACCTAGCAAATATTTAGCACTCAGTTGATGTTGGATAAACGACCGAATGTTGGATGAATCCGGCTGTAAGAACTGTCAAAGAACCAACCTGGAAAATGAGCAGCGTGCCAAGTCATCCCAGGCAGTGGCCATGCCTTGCCAGCTTTAGGGGAAGGTTTAACGTCTGCCTTCCCAGCCTGTGGGCTTGCTGCCTGCCCTGGGATAGAAGATGTCGTTCATGAGACCTGAAATCCTACACTGAGCTCCCGGCCTGGGCTTCCAGCCTACAGAGTCCCCCTGCCAAGGGCTAGGGATTAGCAACTTGACCACGACACCTGCATCACACCCAAAGGTGTGGGGCCCCCTCGGCCCGGAATTTCCCAGGGGAAAGCGCGGATCCTGTTCCTTCTGTTCCTTCGCTGGTCCTGTAGCCCCTATTTGCCCCAGGGTAGCCCCGAGTGCACCTGACACGAGGGCTCATCAGATTCTTCTCAGCTCACGCAGTAACTCACTCATTCACCTTCCAGCCATGTGCGCGAATGTTCAGACCCCCAGGCCGGGAACAGACCCAAATGCCATCTGTGGCGGGGTGGGTACGTAACGTGGAATGTTCGCACAAGCCACACGAGGGCGCGTAACGGGTGGCAAGGACAACGAAGGAGTTGTAGCCACACGCAAAAACGTGCACGAACCTCGAAAACACGTCCCTGAGAGAAAGGAGCCACGGTCTTACTAAGATAAAGTTCAAAACCAGGAGTTAGAGATGGAGCCCGGGCTGCCTCGGGGGTGGGGACAGTGACTGAGGGGTCTGAGCAGCTGGGTCCGGGGCGTGTGGCATTTCAGGCAGCTGGGGGGTGGTGCCTGCAGAGGCCACCTGCCCCCTTCCCCTCCCGTCCCTGCTGAGGGCCTGGCCGCGTGCACGCCTCTCCCCTGTTCCGGGCAGCTTGTGACACCACCTGTCCCCTCTCTTCAGGGCAACAAGAAGGAGCCTGTGCAGCTGCTGGAGAATGTGCCTCTCTTCTCCGACACGGTCCCCAACTCCACGAACCAGGTGGTGGGCAGCAGGGTGGACACGCCCCTGGGGCAAACCCTCATCGGCATGGACTTCTTCTTTGTGGACGGAGTCCGGAAGAAGAAGCTGGAAGCCGAGCTGCAGCCGGTGTAGGAGGCGGAGGTGGGTGTGGGGGCGGCCCCTCAGCCCCCGTCAACGGCCCACACGCGTCCGCCGGGCTTGCCTTCTCTCCGGGCCCCCGCACAGCCTTGCCAAGGGCTCCACTGGCCCGTTTTCACTCATGAGGTTAGAAGGACTCCAGGAGCTTGCCCCTGGTCTTGGACCCGGCAGGGCTGGGGACTCCCTCTCGGGACCCGTGAGAGGCAGCCCTGCATCTGTGGTCACGAGCGGACGGCCTGGGTTCAAATCGTGCTCCTGACTCTGAGCGGCTGTGTGACGCTGGGCAGGTTGTTCGAACCCTCTGTGCCGCCATCCCCCCGCCCCAGACAGACTTGTTTCCTTTTGCCACCATCACAGTGGCCACTCACCAAGGGGCTGCAAAGAGCACGTACGTCCTATCTTACAGCACTGGAGGTCAGAAATCCAAAGTGGGTCTCGCCGGACTGAAAGCAAGGTGTGCGAGGGCTGCGTTTCTTTCTGGAGGCTAAAGGCATCGGACTCCTCGCCTTTTCCAGCTTCTCGAGAGAGGTTGCCCACATTCCTCGGACCGTGGCTGCCTCATCTCTGAAAGCAGAACAGTAGCATCTCCAATCTCCAAACCTCTCTCTCTTTCTCTGCCTCCTACCCTCCATCTTTTAAGACATCCAGGATAATCTCTCCATCTCACAGTTCTCAATTTCACCAGGATGCAAAACCCCTTTTGCGTGTAAGGTAACATATTCCCAAGCCCCGAGGATTAGGACAGGGGCGTCTTTGGTGGATTATTTTTCTGCCTACCACGTACAGAAATAATAAAAGTACTGATTCTAGAAGGTTGTCGTGGAGATGACATGGGCTACCATGTGTAACCGTTCAGAGCAGTGCCTGGACCATGGTATGAGGGTGTGTTTGCCGGGGACACCCTTCTCTTGGGAGGGAGAGTAGCATCCCGGTGAACGATGCAGGGAAGATGTGGGTCCTCACACAGGGGCTGCTGGGAGGTCGGCCCTCGGGTCAGTCTCTCCATCTCCTTCGTTACTGTGTGATGTTCTGGGTGGTCACAGTGAGGCCGGAGCCAAGCCGGGAGGAGCCCACCGAGCTGAGGTCCTGCCGGCCGCCCCTGTGACCCAGACCCACTCCACGCCCTCTGTGCTCTGGGGAGGCCATGAGGGGGCTGCGCCTGAGCTCAGCCACAGCAAGAAAGGGGAGCAGGGTGCCTGGGATCCAGATGGGGTCTTATTTCCATTTGAGAGAGAGGGTGGAAGCAAGAGATATTCTGGGAACTCCCAGGAGGTAGAAAAAGTCGAGGTTAAATGCAGATGCTGGTGGCGGAGCCCATGCAGACCAGAGGGAATCATCCAGAGCTTCTCTGCCTGTGTCTGGAGGGAGGGTAGGAAGCCCAGGGACAGGTGTGGGTTCTGCCACTCCCCGGGAGCAGAGCCACCTACAGACAATGCGACTATTGAGCACAGACTCTGTACTTGGCACATTACCTGAATGGTCTCTTGTAAGGGTTATTGTCACCATTTGAGAGATTTGGAAACTAAGCTGAAGCCCTCATTCAGTCTGGCCAGGGTCCCACAGCTAGTGAAGAGCCAGACTCAACGCCTGACTCACCATACCGAATTCTTCTCTCCGGGCCTCAGTCTTCACGGCTGTAAAATGGGGGCAGAGAGACTGATTCCCAGGATGTCACCAGCTCAGCGGTCTATCTGTGGGCGTGCAAGCATGCAGTGAGTACTGAACCAGGCCGGTTTACAGAGTGCATTCGCGGGCTGTTGTCACGCTGTGTGACACACCACTCCATTTCTTGCTCACGGGTCTGCATGGACTTGGCCCCAAGCTTCAGGCTGAGTCCAAGTCTGTCCATATGTCTCTCATTGCCCTGGACCAACAGCTTCCCGGGGCACGTTCTCGTGGCACATCAGCAGAGCCCAAGAGCCAAACCAAACCATGCAAAGCTTCTGCAAGGGCACACCCGCTAGCCTTTTACTGGCCGAACAAGTCACATGGCCAACCCCAGCCTCACCAGGGCAAGAAAGCATACCTTGCCCACGGCAGGAGGGTCAGAAGGCAAATGTTGGCTGAGTAATAATCCCAACTATGATGCAGAGGACCTGACTAATGGCATGAGTAGCTTTGGGCAATAGTTTTCTGTACATGGCTTAAAATAACACCTGGCATAGAGCTCTGGGTCTCCAGCTGCATGCGGATCAAGTCCTTGACTGCACGGGTCCCGGACTGGTCCTACCCAGACTTGGACAAGCTCCTTGGACAAGTTCCTGCTCCAGCTTGTGCCTGACCCCACCGTGGGGCTGCGGATCAGGAGCTCTCAGCCTGAGAGACAGAAGGCTCATCTGTGGGAGTTGAGAGGGCAGATCCCCCAGCTAGGGGGCTCAGGGAGGAAGTCCTCCTGCAGAAGGAGCCACCGACCTGGTCCTTGAGGAAAAGCTAGGGAGGTGGGGAAGGGAGGGGCTTTCTGCTCGATGGGACAGACACTGCCAGGAAGGGCTCCAAGGCCGGAGAGCAGCCAGGAGACTAGCACTGAGCAGACAGCCCTTGAGAATAGCCTCCGTCTGCACTCTGCAGCCCACCTGCGCATGGCATCGTCCCGGGAGACCCCTCCTCACTACCAGCCGGCCATACCTTCCCTTCCCGGCCACACCTGCTGGGAGCCAAGGACATCGGGGCTGAGGGGTGTCTGCCTCATGTCTCGCTGGGACCAGAGCAGAGGAGGCTGGCTGGGCCAGGAGAAGGGGCACCAAGCCTGCATGTCGGCACCAGCGAAGGCAAGAGGGGCATTAGAAACAAGCAGACAAGGCATCTCACCACCCGAGGCCGGGAAGGGCTGGAATTAGGGGCTAACAAGTCAGGGTAAGGCTGAGGGATTCTTTCTTTGCCTTTTATAACTGCTTCTCTGAGTTCCTCTGCCTCATTCTCCTCTCTGTGGCAGAACCAGCATCTCTGCTTTCATGCAAAACAAAACAAAACAAAAAAATAACACCACTGTCCAGGGAACATACGAGGTGAGCCCAGAGTTTCTTCCTATGCCAGTAAGTAAGGAAGTGTTCAAAATCGGATGGGGGGCCTCAAAGGGATGGACGTCAGAACCAGCCTGAAGGGGCTCCCAGGGGCCAAATTTGGGACAAGATGAGCAGCAAAATGATGCCCATAGTCAGATCCCCTGACTTCACCTGTGGCCACCCACCCCTTACAGCTTCCAAGCAAAACCAGTGCCCATAAATCCCATCAAAGTGTAACAACAACAACAACAACAACAACAACAACAATAATAAAGCCATGAGTTCGTATCAATCAGTTCAAAATTTTTTAAGTACAGGAAGAAAAGTTCTTCTCTACTAAAGAATGTAGAATAAATGATAAAAACAGAAAATCACCATTTTATCACTGATTTAGGTAAGAATCAGTAAAAGATACTAAAAGCACCATGGGAAAGATTCTTAGGGAGTGATAAATGGTGAAGTCTGGGAGACTCCCCTTAACAACACATTATTAAACTTAACCTCGCCAACCAGAGGACAGCGGACAGCAGGTGCCTCCTGATGGGACCCACTGGGGAGGAGCGCCCACCCCGGGAGCACTCCCGCCTGCCCCACATGACCTGAGCCACATCATGAAGAGACGCCGGACACGCCCCAACGGAGGAGCACTCTGCCAAACAGCTGGCCTTGACTCTTCAAAAGTCAATATCATAAGAGACACGGGACGGCTGAGGATCTGATCCACGTTAAAGGCAGTCCAGAAAATATTCAGGACCAGCTCCCACGACAAAGCAAAAGCAGCTCTAAAGGACACTTTGCAGACTAAGCATCAGATGATAAGCACTAAATCGTAGACAATAGCATTGTACCAATGTTAAGTTTGCACAGCATGATCGTTCTAGCAAGGTGATGTCGGAGAATGCCCCTGTTCTTAAGAGATGTATGTGCAGTGGTTGGGGTAGAGGGTCATCATGTCTAAGACTCACTTGCACTGCAGGGCCCCCCTCCTGGCAACTCCCCACCCTCCTGAGG